GCCACAAGGGAAAATGGTGGAAAATTCACCGTCGCCATTGCCAGAAAGAGCGATTTATGGCTTTGTTCTTTTCTTAAGCTCCCAGTTTGGCTTCATACTTTATCTTGTGTGGGCTTTTATTCCTGAATCTTGGCTGAATTCCTTAGGCTTAACCTATTGGCCTCAGAAGTACTGGGCAGTTGCGTTACCTGTCTATCTCCTTATTACTATAGTAATTGGTTATGTACTTCTGTTTGGAATTAACATGATGAGTACCTGTCCACTCAACTCCATTCATACAGGAGTTGGAGGTTGCTGTGAGCTGTAATGCCACGGCACTCTGCCCAGGGGGACAGCTTGAGGCTCTGTCTCAAAAAAAAAAAAAAGAAACACTCTCATAGACACTAACACAGAAAAAAATGTTTTATCAGCTATCAGCATTTCTTTGCCCAGTTAAAATGACACACAAAATTAATCATCTCATTACCCTATGCCTGTCGAACTGTTGTATATTAAATGTGTAGAGGAGAAGTAATTTATCTCATTTTTACGGGTCTACATAGTGAAAGGGTCTGTACTTGTGGTAATGTACTGAAGGTAATGTACTTAATTACACTCTACACTTGGACTTGATTTAGTTTTGAGATTCTGAACTTTGAGCTGATACTATTATGGAATGGGTTGAGGCTTTTGAGGCCCTTCAAGGGAACAGAGTGCATTTTGAATGTGCAAAGGACATTAGTCTTTGACTATTGGAAGGCAGGTAGATGGTAGTAGGTAGTCTCTAAGATGGTAAGTCTCTTACCTCTTGTTCTTCATGCCTTTTACCCCTTGAGCATGGACTATAACAGTAATTTGCTTCTAAAGAATAGATACAGGGGTCTGCGCTTGCGCAGAGAACTCAGCGCTGAGGTGACCGAGAGTGTCTAAGGCCACAAGGGAAAATGGTGGAAAATTCACCGTCGCCATTGCCAGAAAGAGCGATTTATGGCTTTGTTCTTTTCTTAAAGGACAGCTTGAGGCTCTGTCTCAAAAATAAATAAATAAATAAAAACCTAATTACTTCTCAAAGGCCTCAATCCTAAAGACATCACACAGGGAAT